TCCAGCACAGACCTTCTTATTAGTATTTGAAATGCTTACAAATGCACGAGTGACACAAGTGGTAGAGAACAGCGAGATGGACAGAGAGGCATTACGCCAGGGTTAATCCAGGGAGTGGGCAGCGGGCCCAGCCCTCTGTAGAATAACATTATCTAACCCAAAACAACGGGGGGGCGGGGAGCTGGCCCACGCAACCAGGCCCAGCTGTGCAGCCAGGGACCTGAGCCAGACACAAGCTTGTTGAAGTCAGGAAGTAGTGCTGAAGCCTTTGACTGTAAAATTCTAGATTGGACCATAAATACAAAGGAAGAAATACAGATAAATACTGCTGCATATGTGCAAGCCGTAAGACAGACGTAATGAATACAAAGCATCTAGCTGGAGCTAATTTGCAGCATCCATTAAGCATTTAAATCTAGGTTCAAAAAGTCAAGTGAATTACCTGATAAAACTGATTCAAACTGAAAACAACAGAAAAAACAGACTGAACGCATGTCTATGCACGTATGTCTGCTTTCCTCTTCCCTCTGACTTTGTTTCAGTTATGGAGGAAATGAACAAAAATGCATGGTATTTGGTATGTGGAGACTATTTGAACAGTGCCAAAAGGCCTTGATAAGAAGCTGTCTCGGGTTTGAATGGATTAAGATGTGTCAACATTGCGTTTCAGTTTTACATTTGTGGAACCAAAAGTACATCTGAAAGAATTGGTTCTCTAAACAAGTCAAAATAATAATATGTTAGTAATGGATTAGTCATTTAAGGATCTTTTTTCAAGCAAAAGAGCTCATCCCATTCGATGTTTTCCCTTGCCTTTACATGGATAAACAGAACACCTGAAGTCATTTTTAAAGGCATTTCTTCTAATGGCTGCTTGAGGCTGGCTCCACCACGGAGTCAACTGTAAAATTCTCATTTTTAAAGATAAAATAAACATGTTTATTGCCTGTTATAGGTCTTTTGTCTATAAGTAGTATTTTTCTTTTTAGCATGTCAGCCATTTCAGTTATACAGTATCTTAAAGCGTGGCTGCTTTAGGATTCAGACTGATTTGATATCTCACTCAATTATAGTTTAATCCAACCACCTATCTAGGATTATATCTAGGATTATAGAAACCATATTCTATAAGTTAATAGGTGATGATATGGCTTCTAATCCCATCTTTTATATACAGTCTGTGGTTTATATACTCTATATGTACTGGGCCACACTTATTAAATGTTTTCAGTCCATTTGGTGCATAAAATGAAAGCAGTCTGCATTTACAAACCTTTGTGAACCAGTGGGTAATGTTGCATCAAGTATGTTAGTGAGTGTTTTTCCCTCTTAGATATTTCACAATCAGCTGCTAGTGGTATTATTGCAATCTGGAAGTATTAAGAAACCAAAGCAACTCAGCTATGAAGTGCCAGGCCAAAGTTAAAGAGCGAGGTCACCAAGTGCAAAGGCCTAGTGTGTAAAAACTGCCAATGCTCTGCTGACTCAGTAACTCCTCTGACATTACCGGCAGCACAAAACTGAACGCCAGGAGCTTCTTGGCATGGGTGTCCATAGTAGAGCAGATCATGGGTAGGTGGTAGAGTGTAGGTGGCTCAGTACCTTTGACATTATAGTGTATGTACCTATGCTGGCACCTTACAGGTTGCACATGCTTTCTTTGCCACAGTTTGCTTTAGTCATATGGCTTTTTACTGTGACGTAAAAGGGTGACGCAAGCTGGTTCATAAGTGTCATTTGTGAAAGATTTTCCCGCCAAAAATCACTGCGGTTATTCAGCTGTCCATCTGTGTTTCAGATGAGCTGAAATCATTTTGAGGCGGACTGATGTATTTCATTAATCCACATAATAGTTTCTGCTTTAAGACAGTTGGGAGCATTAAATCTATCCAAAGCTTTCCATATTTAATCCCGTTCATCCAGCTGCAGCGCATGGAAACTTCCACAATCCAATTTCTGCTGCAGAGCTGGAGCCTGCTGAGGTTGGCTAATAGCAGAGGGGGAACCTGCTTAGTACACACACTGAGAGGGGGGAGGGAGGGGAGAGTATTTGTTGACATCTGTAGCTACGGCATGGGTCAGTCACGTCCTTAAATGTGCCTGTAACATCACGCCCTAATGCATCAGTGCAGCTTTCATCGCTTGTTTTGGAGTGCTGAAGAGCCACAATGTCAGCATGCCAAGGTTTTGGTAACTGTTTAGTCACCGGGTAATTCAATGACATCATATCAGCATGAAGAGTGAAAAGCTGCTCTTAACAGTTTTACGCTATACCTGGGTGATGAGTCATTTTACAGCCTCTGCTGCCTTCTGCTGGATCAGAAACAACCCTGCAGCTGCTCTCAGTCAAACTCTGAAGTGCATTTAATGTTGACATCAGAGTAATAAACTGACTTTTGTATACCTAAAGCTTGCATATGAAATCTGTGACATTATAGCTTCCTGAATTAACATGGTTGAGATAATGGTATTGTCATTGTGAGGATTAAATAAACCAGAACATACAAGGGACAACATTTATCAGCAGATGCTGTTCCTTTTAGTAAATATTATAAACCTCCAGTATAATGAATGTTAATTTCCTGCAGTAACACATTCAGCCACAGGAGGGAGGCAGTGGTATAAACATTGAACATGCTGGCTTGCAGGGAAAGAGGACGACTAAGGTGACACACTTGCATTACAACGGGCTCTTCTGGAAACATTTCTGTGGTTCCTCCCAGCAGGAATTCGACATTAAATGCATGCAGTCTGGATGTAGTCATGATTTTAGGAAAAAAGGGACACAGTGTTACAAGTTGGATCCCAGACCAACATGTGTAAACTCAGTGAATGTTTCCTCATCTTTGAAGTTTTTCTTTAGCAACATCTGCTCCGGTCCAGCTGTTCAGAGCTCTAAAACACACCGACTGTCAGAGTAACCTCTGGCTAGTAAATGCATGTGTGAACTCAAAGCAGGGCACGGTCGTCAGCATTCCCTGAGGGAAGAACAGTGGGGATGCTCTGATGTTGCACTTCCTCAAAACCCGTGGGCTCTCAAAGGCAGCCGATGTTAACTGAGATTGTGGCTTAATGGGCTCAGTTAAAGACAGTTATTATCTTCATTACACACAAGGATAACTGCTGGCTATACCTTTAGATAGATGCTGTCTGAATATGTTTGAAATATGATAGTATTGATCCTTAATCAGCTACGTTTTCTCCACTAGCCTGCCTCACTGTACGTCACATGGCATGCTGTGGTAGCTTTCCCTCTGCCATATGAAAGTGACCTCCTTTGTGGCTTGTTCGCGTGCAGCCATGTCAGCATCCTGTGACCTCCCCTCGCTGTCCTTAGCCAGTGAAAGGATGTGAACTGATGCACAGTGTTTGGATGTTATGATGATGACATTTTGAGATGTGAAATAATATATTTTTCTGTGTAGCTCTGCTAAAGAAGTTGGTGTGTTAAGTTTGAAAATGCAACACTGATCAGAACTGAAAATAAGGCGTCATTCAGTGTTAGCTAATGTAATAAAATTAACCTGTTTGGCTATTTTCTGAGCAGATATCAAACATTTTAGCTATTTAATCCTAGCTTGTAATATGTTTTTCATTGTTTTAATTTAATTCAATGCATTTCCTTTTGTTTTTTGAATTACTGATAAGAAAAACAACAAAAGATCTGACCTTGGACTTTAAGGACAATCGAAACCCTCTGTGACAGTGCATATGACAATGAAAGGTTTTTCTCATTCACCAAACAGCTGACTAACTGTTAGCTGCAGCATGTCAGCGTTTAGTAAGATAGTGGAAAAAACCCCAAAAATACAACATCTGGTGACAGCAGGCAACTTGATTATATATTAACAGCACTTATTTTGTTGCATTTCGACTTTTAAAGTAAAGAAAGAGCAAAATAAATCTCTGCTGCTTTAAACTGACTGAAAACCCAGGTGTTTCCTTTGGACAAGAGGAAAAATGAAAATGGCTGAACATTTTTTCCAAATATTTAGTTCTGATGGAAGTGATTTTTATCACTACTGAACCTTCCAACTTTATTCATTGGATTCTTTTTCTATTTTTGTAAGCTGTTTTTCCTGAGTAAAGTTATCTTAACTAAATAGGTATTCTCACAAATAACAGGAGAATGCACAGACTATCCTTTGCCCTAACTATACTCAATATGAACATATTGGGGTATACATCTTAAACTTTTGAATTTTCAGTCCCATAGCAGCGAGCACCCAGTCATGTAGTCTGCCTTTACAAACATTCATGAAAGAATGGGTTTCTCCAAAGAGCTCATTGAATTTGAGCGTGGTGCTGTAACAGGATGCCACCATTGCAACAAGTCAGTTCTTGAAATGTATTCTGCGCTAGCTTTTCATTCATCAACTGTAAGTGGTATTATTGCAAAGGGGAAGTGTTTAGGAACCACAGCAACTCAGCCATGAAGTGGCAGACCGCATAAAGTTGCAGAGCGGGAATCGCAGAGTGTTAAAAGTGTGTAAAAGCTGCTAAATGAATTGAACTGTAGCGCTCCAAACCTCCTCTGGCATTGACATCAGCACAAAAACGGTTCGCCAGAACCTTTGTAGTATCAGTTTCCCAAGCTTAGCAGCTCCCAGTACAGGTGGCCCAGTATATTTATCCATAAAGTGTATGTGTAGCAGTCATACTCATGTACACAATCACCTTCAAAAAATAACTGTTTGAGACAGGAAAAAAAACTCTGCAAGTCATCATCTATCAACAGTCTAAAATTTATAGACTCTCCTTTTTCTATACTTTCCTTGGACTTCGTGTTTTTGCTACAAACTGTGTGCATTTACATCATTTCAGGGCTTCAAAGGGGAAATATGCAATAATCAGCATCATCAGCAGAATATTGAAGCTGTTAAATTCTCCCAATGCAATTTGGCCTAGTTATGACTCCACTGCTGCTGCTTTTCCTAATTGTGTGACCAATCGCCATTCTGCATGTGTGCTCACTCTCTCTCACACTCTCTGGTTGCCAGGGAGACAGAGGAATCGTCTGGAGCCAATGGACACGATTTTCGTCAAGCAAGTGAAGGAGGGAGGTCCCGCCCACGGAGCTGGACTCTGTACAGGTACACACAAACACACACACACACACAGTCACATTAACACACACACACAGTGTAATAACCGGCAGATCTGATTAACTCTGCCTGTCTCATATCTGACCTCAAAGTGCTTTTCTATGCCAAGATTTCTTCACGTCTGTACTGTAGGTAACTCACTTCCTTGTAAACTGCCAGGCAAAACAGATATGAGGTTACAAAATAACAGATGGCTCCTTCGTGGGGGGTTGAGCAAAGTGTAATATGCACGCTGTTATTCTGACCTCTCCTTAAATTTGTCTTTGTACATCTCCCACTTTTTTTCTTGTCTTATCAAAACAGGAATCAGTTCTAATTTTAATCAGCGAACACAAAAATATCCCCTTTTTGGTGAAAGCATGGATCAGCTCCTGCTCTTTACAGTTTCCCTGGAATTTAGGTGATGGCTTACTGGCAGAATTACTGCCAGGTTAGCACGTTGTTTTACAGGAAATGTAAAGCAGTCCAGACAAGCCGTCTAAAGCTGCCTGCCTTTATCTGTTCGCTCTCCTCCTGGGACAAGCAAGTGGTATTTTCCCACAATTATTTAGTTTCACTCCTAAACTCACCTCCCCTCTCTTCCTGTATGATGGCCATCTTCAGAAAACTTGGAGATAGGTCCTAACATGGGGTTTTTACATACATAAACATGCGCTGGTATTACGATTCTCCTTTGATCTGAACACAAATGTGTGTTTGTGCTGGAAGGAGTCACTCCATCGTGGTTTCTTTGGTCAATAATCACGTTGACTGTGATTTCAGATCATTTTTCAGAGCACAAACACGTGCTGCTCTTTCATCTATTCTTTTTCTTTTCTGCCCAGGGGATCGGATAGTGAAGGTGAATGGAGAGAGCATCATTGGGAAGACATACTCTCAAGTCATAGCCTTGATCCAGAACAGGTAAGATTGCACGTTTCAGTTAATGATTCATTTTGAGGGAAAACAAAAAGCCTGAATGACTCACAAGATCTAATCCTTTCATAAACGTTTGTGGCTTATTGATGGGAAAGGAGTTAGAGATCTGGGGAAACATGTTCCTTTTTAGCAGAGAGTTTCCTTCTCAGAGAAAGCCCACATGCTTTCACATCCACGTGTTACATTTAGCTGTGAAAAGATGTACAGAGACGTGACAAAAGAATACTAGCATAAATCAAAGTCTGACTCTTTTATCCTCTTTGGTGCACTTTGATTGGGGCACTGTGTTGTGGACCAAAAAACAGTCTTTTTCATGATCTCCATTTATGATGAAAACGTGATCTGACCCCAGTCTGGCCCACCTAGTCTAAGTGAAATGTTTCCTGTCGTCATGCACCGAGGTGCGTGTGCACAAAAGGATCCAGAAGCAGACTCAAGTGTTAGCAGGAAAGGACACTTTACTGTAAATAACAAAAGGCGGCCCGGGAAAACCAGAGGAGCAAATAAGGAACTAAAAAACACGGGGAAACAAATGACACGGGGAAGCCGGAATCGGGACCGTGGGAGGCTGCAACAGAAAGGGGAGAAGATTACTAGTGAACCGGGAAGCTGGGGAGCACAACAAGACAAGGTTAGAGTAGCGGGCTTACAATCGGAGAGGGACCGTGGGGCTCGGGAGGGAAGTGGGAAGGTCCGTGAGAAGGGAATTCGTGGAGTTAGTGACAAGGCCAGATGAAGCACCGGGTGATCCAATCGAGCAGGAGGACAGGCAGGTGGCAGACACTGGACGCCGGATCGAAATCTTAAACACAAGAAGGCAGGTTTAACGCAGTTCCAATAAAACATTAGCACAACGCTTTCGCGGGAGTCTAGTTACCACAGAGAGGTGATTAACAGACTGGCGTGGAGCATCCGTCAGCGCAGGGTTAAGTAGTCCTCCAGGTAATCGCCCCGAGTATGCTCAGTATGATAACCTTGGCAACTGGCCATAAATTTAAAGAGCTCGCTTAGACAAGCAACAAGGTACGCTTCCATATTGATTGATTTTTGTTTCTCCCGTCTCCGACACATGTGGCCAATAAGCGGACTCAACATTCTCACGTAGTTTTTATTGTTAGTGTTATTAAAAGAAACCACAAAATGGGAAAAATCTAGAGTTTTACAAATTTATCAGCTGATTCAGACCAAAGTAAACAAACTACAGTTGGGAAAATGCCAGTTTCTGTTACTCTGTGGCATCACCGTTATGATTTTGGAGAGTGCTGCCTCATGCAGAATTTGAGGCCCTGCATTTGTGTTTGCTTGCATGACTTTTTGGTTGCACTTAGAGAGAGAAAGACTGTAATATGCAGATGCTTTGGAGAAACACTTGCATGCATTCCTCCCAAGAATGGTGAATGTTTGAAATGGAACAGGAAAGAGAATGATAGCAGGCTTCACCAGGGAGAGGAAGAAATGTGGAAAAAAACAATCTAAATAGCAGCACATGTTGTTTTTAACATTCGGTTTCACGTCATTCTTAATAGACCAATCCCAGTGCCCAGCTTAACAGCCTCACACACTTTGAGACACTTTCCAGCTAAGCCCATGAGTGCTTCCTGGCAGATGCTTTGACGTTTACGCACACTTTCTGTTAGTCAAAGGGACTTTCAGTGTGGTGCTTTGAAAAAACAAAAAAGGACAATGTTGTACAAACAAGCTCGGGAGGTGAACCAGAAAAAAGAAGAACGGGAATGTGAAACATAAGGCCCATGGCCCAGAAATGACTCCAATCCAGACATTTTATTTGAATTAACATAAACTTAAGATCAAAGTGGGGTGTATTTGGCTCATAAAGTGAAATGAGTTTAACATCCCTGCTTCAGAAATAACAACACAAATAAGAGTAGCCCTCATATTTTTGACTCTTCCTTCTGGTGACAGTGCACAGCTACAGCAGACCTGAGTCATCCACGCATCAGCACATGCAGACATGGCGAGACCTTAATCTGATGAGTCCAACATCTCCCAGAGATGTTCAGTTGGGTTGAGATCTCATTTAACATTTGCTTTGAAACTTTAGTCATTCAGCCCTTTACTGTATGTCCTGCTGGTGTGGCCTGGCCCAGGTTGTCATCCTAGAAGATACCAATCACATTACAATCCAAAGTTTGCCATTGAAATGCCCCCAATGGCATAACAGAGACACCCAAACCTGTCACTGCAGTGGTTAAGAGTCAATTTTTTTTTCCTTTAATATGTCACCTGGCCATTTCTTACGAGAAATGTTCACACGTCCTTAATTTGAGGTCTATGTTATAACTGTTTCTCTCTCTGTCTTTCTCTCTCTCTTATGTTTATCATCCGTCAGTGATGCCTTGCTGGAACTCTGTGTGATGCCAAAGGATGAGGACATTTTGCAGCTGGTAAGCATTTGTTTATCTGTAAATACCACAAGTGCACAAACATCTAAAGAGATAATCCCCAGTTGTAAAACTGGAGAGCAGCTTTTAAGACTCTAGGATTAGGTTATGAATGGCTATAATTAATTTTCACTTATGTTGACATTAAAATGTCTGTCTCTTCATTCCATCCATCGTGCAGTACGTGTGCAGGCATACTAAAACTTAACCTGTTAATCTTTTGAAATTACATTAAATAATCACCTTTGTTCTGCTGAAGAAAAATGCTCTGGATGTGTCAAACAAACCAGACTCAATGAGATACTTTACAGTATTTTACTTTGTTCGCTCTCACTGTTTTGCTTGTGATTGTGTCAAACAGTCGGGTATATACAGTAACGTATAGTCAGCTAACCTGTGTAGCAATATACAAAAGCATTACCTTGGTTGCACCTGGTTTCCCGGCTCAATGAACAAATATGACTCAGTAAGGAATTTTTTTTATCCAACAATAGTCACATTCATCATCCCTTTCAAAATGCTGGCTACAGACAAGATCATTCTTGAAGTTTGCTTTTAGATTCATTTTCTGTGGCTCTCCACTGTGCAGCTGGAGTCAGAGAAAACTTTAGTTGTCAGATTTTTCTTGTAGCAGCTCCACAGATGCTTGCCATGTAGCCAAACAGTTGCTTTAAATTGTCAGTTTGGTGTCCAGACTCCGAAGCAGACAACTTGTGTTACTGGCTGCAAATTATGCTGTTTTGCCTAACCCTCTGAGGTCTGTGACTCTAAAGTGGGATCTAAGCTTCTGAGTTAAATCTATGCCGGAGGTACGCTGTGACCACAAACCCTTCTGAAACCCGACGCCGTGACTCTTAGAAAGTAACTGCGTCGCATCAGAGCAGCCTGTAAAGACTGTGATTGGCTTGTTCTGTACCATCATCGTTTTATCTTAATTTTTCACCTTGACTGGAATACAATGGATCCATTCAAATAGAGAAACTCCAGAACCAACTAGTGTGTTGGTGGCACAATGCTGGCAACAGCACTGGCCACTTGCATAGGTTACTTCGTGGCCTCTACATGGATTCAGCATAGATGCAAATCATGCATAACCCAGGCAAACAGAATACACAAGTTTTGTTTTCATTAAAATATTCTGCTAGTCTTTGCAATCAATAAACAACTAAAATAATCATTCTGACTGGCACACGTCAAAAACTATTCACATTTTTATCTAAAAGAGTCTGTTTTACCTTTCTCCAAATGAAAGGGTTAGGCTTGTGTTAGGGTTACCAAGTATGATGACCTCAGCCACAGTACAGTATTAATGACAATTACACCATAATTTATTATTTTATTTACATTTTTAAATAAAACAAATATTTACATCAATTTGAGCATCAGGAGAAAACATCTTATGATGAGAAAAATGTGTCGTTAACATCTGATTATGGCTAGCTAGTCAAGACTCAACAGTTGCAGGGATTTACAGGCTGCAGTTTATAGTCACATGATTAATCCACTGTGGAGGAACTCTAGTAATCATTCCAGTGTTGAGTCAATGTTTAACCACCCACTCTATGCAATGTTTCTTAAGGGTTGTTCTTATACTTAAAGCTTGTATTGATTGTCCCATGTGGATGGGCTAGTTTTCAAAAACCCAGGAGTAAAACCAGCAAATAGGAACGCCGCCTAGCCGGGTTTCGTGCCGCAGCTCCGCGAGTTTATACCGATCAGCCTGAGGAGCTCAGTGACGCAAACAACCAGCATACGGCATCAGTCAGGGTCCAGAGCACCTCAGACGATAACAGCGCAAAGCCGTGTCAAACCAGTCGCCACACGTTTCTCACCTCTGCTTGGGAAAATCACCGTTGAAGCAGAGAGCTGAGTCAGATCCCACTGTGTTGCTAAATTCCTCACATAGCTTGTTAGTTTGGCCTCAGCTCACCAAAAAGCCACAGAAAGTTGCTTTTGGCCTTTTGGAATGAATCAGAGCTCACAAGGGATTCAAAGGAAGCAATTAGCTGTTTCTCCTCATGGAGGAAAACAACAATCAGAGTTAATTTCACCATTTTAATGTACAGTTCGCAACAATCTGACCTATTTAAAATCTAGAATGAGCACCCACATAAAAGTGAAATGTGAATAAACAAGCTCATAGTTCTCATTCCATATTTAATATTTGATCTTGTGCATTAGATTCTATCCCATAAAAAGGAAATATATGAAATTTCTGGTATTCATGTGGAGCTCATATTGACAAGATTGAGAAGACTCGATCTAATATTGTTTCCATAAGATAAAAGGAGCTTGAAGCGGCAACACAAGTACCAGTAAATATGTTTTGGGAGATACTGAGTCCTAACCGGAGGGAGTGCAGCTGCAGTCAGCTGACTCCCCTCAGTGCTCTGTTTACAAGGCGGAAGCTGGTGCAGATCAGGCAAGTAAGGGTGCTCACCCAAAAGAGCAAAAAAAAAAAAAAAAAAAATCTGACAGTGCAGCATCTGACAGATCAGAGGGAAGACGAGGAAAGAGGCAAGTGTGGAGCGAGTGTAACACACAAGGGCGACGAAATGCTCCAGGAGCCGGCGAGGAAGGGCAAGGGAGGGGCGTTACCACAGTGAGCAGGTGAGAGTGACAGAGCAAAGGGAAGAAATGCAGAGTATGTAGAAGGAGAAAAAGCCAGCAGAATATATTTGCCAGTGTGTTCTGACAGCGACTGTGCTGTGTGGTGGAGGCGGAGGAAGGTGAGGGGACGAAATAATGGGGACAAACAACGAGACTCAGGAAGGTATTCAGGTCTAAGACGAACACCAAATGGGCAGCTGCGCTCTTTTCAATTCTTATTTTTCCACTTTGACTGACCGTGATGCCTCTGTTCAGCCTTCCTACAGCGAGATGTAATTTTAGCTTTTGCCGAAGTCTATCGTTGGTACCTCTTTATCTCTTTATTCTTACCTGTTTACTCTCTTTATTTCCTTTTTTCTCTCTCTGCTTCCATTTATCTAACCTGTGGACTGCAGTTTTCCAGGGATATCACTGCTCTGGTAAGAAGGGAAATCATACTAATCTTCTCATCTTCCACTTTCCTTCACCTCTTATGAAAGATCTCCCCTTGTCTTGAGATTGTGTTTGCAGTGGTAGGACAGGTAGAGCAGGGTGTTTTTCTCTTACCCTGATAAGTAGGTTAAGGGAAAGAAGGGAAAGATGTGTTTAAAGGATAAACAAATGCCCTGAAATCGTCTGTCAACAGACCTTCTAAATTTCCCTCTGTGCTTTCCACGGTGAGGAAATTGACTTCTCTTGGATTGAACGTAGTTTCAGAGGGAGGCACCCGGCAGCTGAGGTAGTGCTGTTACTGTTAATGCAGCTGTAATCTGACACCTCAGGTAGAGTGCAATCGATTAAAGTCCAACGCCACAACTCTCTCCCTTTCATTTTCTCAAGAACGTCTGTGCTGAAAGGATGTGGAAATACAGTCTGTTCAGTATGCAGCCAGGAGTTTTTTCCTGACGCCATCTGTGGCAAAACAAAGTGTTTTTCTTTAACTTTTTATCACGGAAAGTACCTCGGTGGCTTCAGTGACTGTAGAATTGTGAAGCCATGCTGACAGAAGTAACGTTAGCTGCCAACGGCAGACAGAGGAGACCCCCGTTCACCCTCTCCTCATGCCTCAGGGCACACTCTTCGGTACCAAAGGTGGGTAAGCCCCTGCCAGATTAATCCTCACTCAGACTCTGAGGGTTTATTCTGGATTTTCCAGCTTTCTTTCTCTACTTATTGCCCTCTCTGGCAGCCTCCTTTTCCCACTTGTGTTTCTGTTTTTACAGAGGAGTTTAGGCTGCAACATTTGTTTGCCGTCTCCTAGAAAAAGAATTGAGAAACTTTGAGCAGAGCTGTGTTTGATTTGAAGAAATGGCGTGCTATTCATTTAGTGGTATAGACGGGATCAATCCAGTTGTCCCATCTGTCACGTCCAGTTTGCTGTGGGTATGCAGCAGTGTTTGACTTTCTGATAATCTTGTCAGCTCATACAAAGACTCCTGTCAATAAATGACACTTGTGGATTACGAGCCCTTCTCCAGTTTTGTAACTTGAGCTACAATGTTTTTGTACTGCAGATGTAGTATTTCTATAGGAACATGCTATTGTGGCTGAAATGGCAGTGGAGGTGTAATATGAGATGTGGTTGTAAATGCATCTTTAGCAATACTGCTTGAGAAATGAGATGACAGGGCAAAAATAGATATCCCACTCTTTGTATTCTTGGATATTTTTGGAAATGCGTCTGCACCAGTTATATTTGTGTCAAGTGTTGTTGTGTCAACTCTACAGCACTTCCCACTCCATGCTTGTCCTTTAAGAGAGTTTAAAATATCTGTTCTCTGGTTAGGTTGATCTCTTTGGATGTGATGGGATTGGTTTAGCTCTTAAACCTCTCTGCAACCAAAGTGATATAATTTCTTATAATCTCTTGCAGGCGTATTCCCAGGATGCATACCTCAAAGGAAATGAGGCATACAGCGGAAATGCCCAGAATATCCCTGAGCCCCCTCCCATATGTTACCCACGGATAGAAGTCAAGGCTGCAGGCATGGCTCAGTCATCAGAGCCTGTCACTGTCACTGAGACTCCCAGAGGGCCAGTTCAAGGACCAGGGAGGCGAGGGGGCGCCACAGAGAAGAGCTATCGGGTGGAAATCCCTGTTCCTCCTTCTCCTCCCCAGCAGACGTCAAAGTCTCAGACAGTGGTGTGTGTCTGTAATGACAATGTGAGGACAGTGCCCCCTGATCAGATCGAGAGGGGGTCTCGGGTGGCTCGGGCTGGACCCAGCCACAGGACTGAGGAAAACCGGTATGGTCCTACAACAGATTCTGGCTCGACCCGACCAAGACCCCTTATTCCCTCAGTCCCTGGGAGCGCTCAGTTACAGTACCCCTCCTCACGTACCACAGAAATGCCAGTCTACCCCCCTTCCTCAACTTCTAGACCTGGAATCTATTCTGACACCTTATCTCCACCTGGACGGGCCTCGCAGGACACGTTCTCCACTGCCATCTCACCCAGCGCCAACCACTACTCACCCTCTCCCACAGCTCCCTCCACCTCCCCTCACCAGAACATTGACTGGAAAAACTACACCACCTATAAGGACTATATTGATGCCAAAAGACTGCACAGTTATGGCTGCCGCACCATCCAGGAACGCTTGGACACCTTGCGTGCAGCTTCCAGTTCTAGTTCTGTCTACACCCAGCAACGAACAACATCTCCTCCCGTTGCCAGTCAGAGAGGGGCACTGGAATCCCAGGTTAGACGCAGGAGTGCATCCAGTGACCGTGGGGTGGATACAGGTAGTCAAGGTGCTGCAGTGACAGCTCCTTTACGCAGCGCCTCCCAGGAGAGGCTAGGAGGCGGGGCAGAGAGGACGATAACAACTAGGAACTGGCCTCGTAGCGCTTCACAGGATGCTCTGCCTTTCTCAACCCCAACAGGAGTCACCAAACCTCGTGCTCGGTCTTGTGATTACCTGGGTCAGCATCCCGGAGAGCTAGGTGGGCGTCTCTCTGGAGTCAGGTTGGGAGTGGAGGACAGGCTTCAGCTGGGTCAGGGAGAGGAAGCCAGGGCTAGCAGGCAGGGATCTGAGTTGAGGGCTTTACCTCATCTAAACAGGAGTCTCACTGGACAAGAGGAAGAAGGACAGGGATTTTCCAACTCGCCTCTAGCAGCTCCTGTGTTTACTAAAGGTACAACAGATTCTGCACTACCATCGAGGACAGATGGCATCATAATGAGGCCGTCACGTCTGCCTGTCAAAAATGCCATTTCAGACGCCTCACCTGCCTTACCTTCCACTAAACCCATGGACCCTCTAAAAGACCAAAGAGCTAACATCATGGGCAACCATATGGGCTACTCCTCCCCTCTGCACCTGCAGCTCAGGTCCAGGGCTGACAGTCTGAAAATAGAGAGCAGGTCAGAGGCGGGGCTAGCAGCCAGATCCTCCTCTTGCTCTGGTCCTTCGTCTAAACTGCCCACGCAGAGACAACTACAAAGTGCTGGCAGTGCTTCTACCAGTAATGGAGCTGTCACCCAAAAGCCAAAGGTCAAAGAAACCTCTAGTTCCACTAATTCTCTTGTATGGACTAACGGCAGTCTTGCAGAGGGTGTTGAAGGACCTGATGCTACCGTTGTGGTCCTCAGAAGGGACAAAAACTCTGGAACTGCTCATGTTCGCCCTCCGTCCTATGTAATAGCTGTTAACGACAACCAGAGAGGAGTGACTCATAAGTCACCACACTTAGTGAAGGCAGGCTCTGCAGATGCAGCGATGTGCTGGACGTCTAGTGACAGCTACAGGGAGATGCATCTGAGAAGGCTGGGAGACACACGGCAAAAGTCTGGATCCAACAACTTGGATGACTCTCTGGATTCAATCCCCTTCATAGGTAAGACCTCCTTATCTTTATATGTTCTTTCTATAGCAACAAATCTGACACAAGAACAGTCTGTTTTGTTAAAGTACTGCTGGAATTCATTTTAAGCTTCAACTATCAGAAAGCTGCCATCAAATCATCAGGCACAATCTTGCTTTCATGTCTACTTATTAGGTAAAACTGTATTTCCTCATCCAGAACTTGGAAGCAGAAAATTCAGACTGCAGTTAATTTGAGGGTGGTTGTTGGCACCTGTTGGCACTACGCATAGAGTTTAGCATAGTATTAGTATAGACAGATCAAATGATCTTAGTGTGAGTTCACATCAGCTAATGATTTGGCTGATTTTACATAGAGTGAGCTATATAAGCTGCTTTACCGCTGCTGTGCATCTGCAAGCCACTTTGCTGCCCACCTCTTCAATTTATGCTGTGTCTAACTTAAATAATGTCTGTGGTCATTGATGCCTGCTCCTTTTTATACGAGGACCTTGCTGCTACTCTCCCGTCTTAGGTTTTCAACATATGAATGCATCAAGGAAAGATGGAAAGGTGAAAGACTAGAGCCATGCCACCAAATATAAATAACTGGGGATGCGAAGAACTGTCTTCTTTTGACTTAAGTGACTAAAATTAATTGTCATAAATGATCAAGTTCATTTTTAAATAAAAAGAGGTTTTACATAAAATAAATACTGACATGCTTCAGTGTTGAAATAATATATGTGTAAATACTGAGTCTAGATAAAAGGCTTTGTATCGAAAAGTTGAATGCTACTGTTAGCCATGCATCACAATGGGCATTAATCTTGCAGGACAGGCAGAACTTCACAGTAAAAATACAATCAGTAGTTTAACACACTCTTATAGATCAGTAGATGAAGACATATGACATATTTAATTCTCTGTAGGTGAAATGATCATGCAGTGATGGGCTGTTGAGTTCACACTCTGGTTTGCTCATAGCTATATTTCAGGGGTTCCTTGGGTTTTTATAAAATCTTTTTAAAAATCTATAATACCCAGTGATACCTTCTCATGCATGTGTTGGTTATGTTTGTAATTTATTAAATGTTAAAAAAAGAGTAATTAATTCATAATTAATTCACATGTAATTTCCATATTTAGCCGTTAGAAACCCAAGTTTAAAGTGATATCAAATGAAAAGTGAGAAACATATTTTCCTTCCACATGACACTCCCATCTCAAAATCCACAGTTTAAGGTGGTGAGAGTGATATTCTCCACTGTTGGTTGCCTGAGGACAAAAATGTAGACACGCCTTCAGTATCTTCCTGTTTAAAGGAAATAAAAATCACCATAACCAAAAACCATGGAAGCCAAATAATTATAATAAAAAATTAGTCTGAACTTCCTGTTTCAGTAGCATTTCATCAGAAAAATGCATTAAAAATCAACTTTAAGCTTGTCCGTTGTTGCCCCACTTTTGCTGCTACAATGAAATACATTGTGTCTAAATGTCATCATGGATATACTATTGCATAATCAGGTGGGGGAATTCCCTGCAAGGTTTGCTCAGTGTGAATAAGAATGAATCCAGTTAACCTGTGTTTTGGTGGTAAACTGCCTTTTAAAGGACACTGTTCAGTGTAGAAATTAAAATTTTTAAAAAGTTTTGCTGCTGTTAAGCAATGTTTGTGTTCAGCATTTTGAACTTGGGACAACGTGACACGGTACTGCCAGTAAGCATGACATATTCAGACAATCCTTCGGCATCCGAAAGGGCAGCACAGAAAAAGTACACAGGGTGCACACTATGCACACGTACGCACTCACCGAGCTGCTTTCCAAGTCAATAAACGCACACACACTCCCTGAAACATCTCATATTTCCACCAGTGTTGCACAGAGAAAGAAACCTAAGCGTATCGTCCTAATGGACTATGACATAGCGGAGAAATGAGAGCATTCCTGCAGCAATCTGCTTCAATTACATTTCATTGTAAGCTTCCAAACAATAAGTGGAACAACTGCTGTACATTATCTGCCTGCCAAAAGTTTATTTTATTTCATGTATTTCTTTTGCAGGGAACAGAATGTAACATACACTACTAGAAAAACATGCGATATGTCACGTCTGCTCATGTTTCTGATGATTCTTTTTTTTCTGTTTTTCCCCTCATGAACTGAAGCTGAGAGCTGCATTTACACGTTGAGGTGTTTATAGAATGACATTATTGAGTAATGTTTGAAGCATCTTCTGTCTTTCCAAATCTCGTACAACAAAAGAGGCTGACAAGCTTGAACTCGACCTTGCATCCTCAGTTGTGTCTTCATTGATGACTCATTACCATCCAATGAGAGCAGCTCTTGTGTCTGTCTGGTGTCCTAGAACCTGCAGGGATTAATCACATCCTCTTCCAGCAGCACTTCACAGAGGCAGCCCTCACATCTCATGGTCTCGTTCACAGCATTTCGATCAAGATTAGATGGAGATCTTGGTGCTATAGCAGTAATGTGCCTTAAATCAGAACAATCTGGGGTTGTTTTTTTTATCATGTTATGAGACGGCAGTGTGATATTGCTTATACTCTCATGGCAGTCTGCTGTATATTAAGCAACAGCATGGAGTTAGTTTAGCTGAGAATAGAGGATGGAAAGAGGTTTAGCGTGGTTTTTACCCAAAGATAACAAAATCAACCAACAAGTAACTTTGAAGCTCATTAATTTACTGTTTACGTGTTATTTACTTGATGTGAAGCATCTGGAGCCTGCATGCTGGACTCTTTCTTCTTGCATTGATTTTCCCAGAGTCCCTCATGGATGAGTGCCAAAACATAAAAAATCCACATGTAATAACTTTGGACAAGATCTAGGTTAGTTGGATCCCCTCTGTTTAAATCTACAGAAACTGATGGCAGTGTGTAAATTCATTCTATCTTGCTATGAAAGTTGGAGGGTAGTTTGTTTATTTATCCCATTTCCTCTCACTTTAAATTACTCCAAGCAACAGCAGACTTGTCCCAGACTCCAGTGTATTTACTTGGTAGATCCACTTTGTGTTTGTGAATTCTGTACTTTGAAGTCCAAGCATTTATTTTGAAAATCAGAACTACAACATATTTCCAAGATTCAGAGGAAGAAATGAGCCTCATTTAAAATACTAGCTTTATTGCTGACAAGTCAAAAAGTTGAGCTCAGTTTGCAGTCCTGTTACTTGATAACAACAGTGCTACCTACCATGGGAAGGTAGGGACCCCCCAGAAAAGAGCAATACTGCCTAATGTTTGGAGACCGCAGCATGTGCAATGAACATGGCATCTTGTTGACTTTGAGCTAGTTGCTTGGAAGGCAGCTGTTGTCTTCCAAGCAACTTTGGTGCATCAACAATGGCAATTAAACGGCAATAAGGTGGAGTCAGTCAGCTGTCAGTCAATTTGGGGTCAAGTTGGCATTAACGTGCAATCTATTTGTGATAATTAGTGATTAGCTGTGAGAAATTGGTGAAAATCCAAAAATGTGTGCATGCAGAGAAATTTACATTAAACAGAAATGTATGTTGCTGTAAATTGATTGCTGTGTTGCCTCCCATCAGGCAACCTGTCCAATTGCTTTGCAGTCATTAGTGGTGACCCAATCGCTTGCCATCGGTGTGTGACAGCAGAAAAATTCGATGCAGTTACCAAGCAACCACCGATTTTTCCTAGTCACAAGGCGGTAGAGGCTTATTTGTACTTCAGTTGTGATTGAAGCATAATATGAATTACTGCAGACTGAAATACAGTAACAGGCTTTTTTCACTACAGTGGTTCTGACTGAATTGGAGTCACCATTTGCTTTTATGCAGTGCGCCTATATTCTAACGATTTTGGTAAATATATTGGAACAGATCTGGAAGGTTAATGAGTTTATGCTGTTATTTTCCACACGGAACACCATAAAACCATATGAAAGTCATATCTGTAGAGATGTTTTATGAGAACTTTATTGTACCCACAGAAACAACATACATTTGTATTTACTATATTGACCAGAAACAAAAAACACCAAACATGTTGTCTAGATGTGGATAGGTGCATGTTCGCCTGCTTAAAGCCAAATCAGTCTTGATGTATGAAAGTGAAATAAATAAATTGTAATTGTACGTGTTAGAACTCGCTGGCTGCCACCATCTTCTCAGAAACAGAGTTAGAGGTATATAAACAAGTGATTAAAGCAAATGGGCATCTGGCTTGCTTGCAGAAATGAGGTTTGCAGTGTCATGGGAGATGTCTTTGCGGTTTGAGGAAAGAGAGGTTTCACAGCAGGAATCTGTACCCTACAATGAGCACATGTTTCACGTTAAATGGCACCACTGAAAGTAAACAGTTTGCAAGGAAATTGTGTCTTTTAGATCTTTTCGCTGTTGTTCTTTTTAGCTATTTGTCTTTTGTAGTCAGGGCACTTTTCAAGTTAAATAACAGCGACAGTTACGTTTCTGGAGATGAATTTGTAAGAATTTAAAAAAGGTATTCTTTCCTCGTGCCACGGTGACCTGACAAGTTTGAAGTCTCTGGTTGAACCATTTACTTGTGCTCTGCACTATTATAAAGAGAGCTTTCAGTAACAATATCCACGGTGTGGTCTCGCCCTACTTTATTCATCACCATATTCGCTGATAAGATTCATTTCTGCAACTACTTGTTCGCTGTACCGGTCTCCTAATTTGTTTTTAGGGTTTGCCGCTTTGCAGATATTGCACATCACTCGTTATGACACAGTCTCGCCTGTGATGATATAATGCAAGCTGACTGTACTGCATCTGTGTATTTAAAGGAAAGGGGTTGTAGCAGCTTATCTGGACTGAAGTGCTTATCAGCTGACTGACTGACTGAGTCTCTGTCTGCATCATGTAGTCTTCTCTCCGTACGTCTTATCGCTGCTTTTTATTGCGGTTTGCTGCAATGTTTATTCAAGTTGAGACAGCAGACATGACGTAGACCTTGGTTAATGTTGCTCTAATTTGCAGTATTATGGCTCCTATTGAGTTAAGTTGAATACATTTCAAAGATGTGGTATGATTAGCATCTCCAGCAGATTAACCGTGTTAGGAAAATACATATTTGGATCATGATTATGCCATGGTTGGAATTGTTGGTTTGTCACACCTCTCTTCCCTTTAAGTGACAGCGTCAGCTTATCTGCACACTTTATGGCCGTGTACCATTAATGGTATTCACTTTCCTGTGGTTGTGCAACCTCTGTCATACACTGGAAGAGCCTCATGTTTTTGACTTGAACAGTTTGAAACTGAATTGTGAACTTTTGAGGACTTAATGTAATTATTGATTTGTTGTCAGGTCTTCCTGAATCATCACCATGTCTGTCTTCTCTGAGCCTCGGGCTCAGGCTGCTTCATAACAATAAGTGGCCTGTGTCTGTACTCATAGATGTGCCTGCCATTTGTGACAAGCCTGATTGAGTCACAGTAGTTTATTAACTTCATGATGATTTTTGTCTTTGATGTTTTTTCTTATGCTGTATAAATTATTGACTTTTATTCATATTAGTTTCACAAATGTTCTTCTTTACTTCTTACCCTAATATAATAGTGATTTTAAAAAATCTTTTAAAATCTTATTATAAACTTAGTGAAAATCTATGATGAAGTTTCTAATTTAAATACAACTTTCACTGAATCTTTGCATAATTTATAAGAGATGGACTTCAGTGAAAAACTAGAATTACTAATGACTTCTTTGCAAGTTTGACTCTATGCAAAACTGGCCAGTGACCGTTTTGCATGCAGGTTCTGACCATCTGCTCTACCAGGTGAGCTACCAGGCTGCCTACAATACAAGCCCCATGCACAGGGCGCTAGTAGGAATCTGGTTACGACTGCTACGATACGTTTGCACATTTACTTTGGTTACATGCACACAGTTTTTCACGTTGTTTAAAGCCAATCCTAATTACAGTTCTGGATCAGGTGTTGTGCTACCTGTAAAAGCCTCCTGTCAGCGGCACTCTTTGAGCTTACATTTTAAGAATTAAATGTGTAAAACTACAGAAATCTGTAACTTAATTATTTTGGTGTAGCATGAATTTAAATGGGGGGGATCTTTATTAGTAGAAAAAGCTGTGAAACTTAGAAATGCAATTAAAAGTCCAACATTTATGCTCGCATTTTACGTTTTCCAAAGCCAGCCTGGTCCTTATGTTAGACACTCTGTAGCCAAGCAACCAACCCGAGGGACCCACCCAGTGAAATAGTCAAATATATGAAAAGTTGAATATTTGGGTAAAAACCTAGTTAACATGTTGTAATTTTACTACAGTTTGTTTAAGAAATGTTTTAAAACCAGCCTGAGTGTTCATGTGATCCTTTTTTAAGTATGTTTAAGCTTTTAGCTGATATATTTTGACTATTATACTTCATGTTCAGGGGAGTGTTTTATGATTTTCTTGCCTTGCTGAACTCAGTTTCCTCTTTTCTGTCCTCAGATGAACCGTCCAGTCCGAGCATCGACCTGGAGAGTGCGCACATCCCCGCCTCAGCCGTGATATCTGGAACGCCCATCATCACCACCATCCCAGCCAGCCCCCCTTCTCCGTCCCCTCTCATTCGCCGCCAGCTGTCACATGACCAAGGTGTGTTTTCCATATCAAAGGGTTAGTCAGCTGCTGAATTTGGCGCAGAAAGGGACAGTTTCAAATAATTATGTGACCCTCTTTTAATAGATTCTCTCCGTCTCACAATTATTGAGTCAGATTCTGGTTCTAAAACTGAGCGCTCCAAGTCGTACGATGAAGGCCTCGATAACTACCGGGAAGAAGGCAAAGGGTAAGATGCTCTCACAACAGTGCATGTAAAAACTTGTGAAAACAGCCACTATCAGTCTTGTAATAAAAAAAAACAGGACAAACAAAGGCAGGTTTTAGTAGATTATTTACAGTTTAGTAGTAAAAACATGGCGCTGCACAAAAAGCGAAACATACCTCTGCGTTTAACTCCGATGCGGGTCCATCAGCTGTGTACAGAGTTTTAACAATTTACTGATCACTTGTAAGGTCACATTTCTGGAAAGCTTATTGGCAGTGGATGGATTTATGGGTAGCTTACTCCTGTGACTGATCAATTTTGCTTTTACACTCTCAAGAAAGAGAGGGTGTTGTCTTTCCTAAGCAGTAAAGTCAGAGGTTGTTTTGGTTCTGTTTTACTCCAAAACCAAAGAGAACGAGCACATTTTGTTTGAACCAATCCCACTGAAGCAGGTTTTATTATTTGATGTAGTTTTAAACGCTTATTCTCACACACATCTCATACTTTCTGCTGCCCTCACATTTTTTTCCATTTCTGTCTAGGCGGTCCTTGATACCTGGTCTGAAAAGTCTTATGAAGGTAAGTTTTTTTTTATGAGCTCACTGTCGGCTCTTTGTTTTTATCAGCGTTTCCTGCTCAGATATTTATGCAACCTTTGTTTCACACCCACATTATAAACGTCTCTCACCGTAATGTGAATATATTGTGGAAACTGGGAGAGCTGTGGGAGTTGCGTCATTGCTGCTTTTGTAAATGATTCATTTAAAAGGAGTTTTTAATTTACTGTATATCACTGGTGCACTTTCGCCTCGTCTTGCACTTGAAAACCTTTCGGGCTTTCATGCGTTTGCATTGGTTTCGTCTCCGTTTCAGGCTGTGGACAGGTCATCGGATGATTCAGGGTCAAGGAGAGATTCCTCATCAGACGTCTTCTGTGACGCCACCAAGGAGGGATTGCTGCATTTTAAGCAGCTTCATACAGAAAAGGCCAAGGTGTGCACCGTCTCTGTTTAAAACCCACACAGTGCCACAGAAATCATGCCTCACACACTTTTATATCCATTGACCTGCTCGAAATTTGGTTTATTAACCATAACAGCTCCTTCTTGATGATATCTTATCTATATTTCCTCTGCTGTTTGTTTTACTTGCTTGAGCAGTTTAGATTTTCTTGTCTCATATTGTCCACAACACCGTGATTATAAAGCAATAGTAGTGCTTTTAAGATTGGTTGAATTCCTGCTGTTTTGCTTTGTAAACTATTCTCTTCTTCATGACGTGTTTTATGTAGCGTGTCGGAGGCGGCATGCGGCCGTGGAAACAGATGTACGCCGTGTTGAGAGGAAACTACCTCTGCCTATACAAAGACAAAAAGGAGGGCCAAGCACACGCCAACTGCCAAGCAGTGGATGAGCCGCTGCCGATCAGCATCAAGTCCTGCCTGATTGACATCTCCTACAGCGACACGAAGCGGAAGAACGTCCTGAGGCTGACCACGTCGGACTGCGAGTACCTGTTCCAGGCTGAGGACCGGGAAGACATGCTGGCCTGGATCAGAGTCATACAGGAGAACAGCAACCTGGATGACGAGGTGCGAGTCTTGGGTTCAAACTGTTGGGACAGTCATTATACAAAAAGCAGTCACAAGACCCAAACTTTCATAAGCAGGCAAATTAAGTTAAAGTTAAGTTGTTTGAGTCCAAGTGCTGTGACTCTGCTTGTCTCCTCGGGAGAAAAAAAAAAAACACTGAAAGAATTTGAAAAATTTTGTTTTCAGATGTGATAAAGTCATAAAAACAGATACCAATATTATCATGTTCGTCACGGGTTGAATAAGCGGTCTGGCATTTTTAATTTTACGATTTTTACTGATATATTTGGCAGCTTGCAGCTCAGTAGTTCTCACTAAGAGTGTCCTCGGGGGCTTTCATGCGCATTAGCTTTCATCTCCTTTGATTGAGCAAAGCTTTTAAAGCATGTAACCTTCTTGCAAGGCAAGTTTAGACATTTTCCTCAACCCATAGCTGTGTGATTAGCATCTGTTTATTTGTTGAAACTTTATGAAGTACAGTGCATGGGTTACAGGCTGACATATGCGAGTACACTGGGGTTTAAAAAGCAGATAAACAGGAATTTGATTCCTGTAAAAGACGGACAGAATTCATAATGTTTAGCACAGAAAACAGCTTCCAGATTCAGCGAGAACATGTGTTGTACAGCTCTAATCTAAACAAAGATTTACAACTTTCTTCTTAAACCGATGAGCTGTTGGAATATTTTTACTCAAGTTATCGAATTAAAATATTAATGGAAAATATCAAATTAGCGATCCATAAGCCACCCTCTTCTCTCACATACAGTGCTGCTCTAATTTTCCGCTCAGTTATTGATATTTTCTAATAATTTGGGGCTTTCTAAAAACCACTGAGGCAGCGACGATCTTTGCTACATAAATGCAGAATTTCTGCATGGCGTTTCATCAAAACTCCCCACACCAGTTAGTTTTTCTTCAAATTTGTATTTACTTGTTTCCTCAATTGTGCTCTTTCTGCGTTCTTTCGATTGTAAACATTCATGTGATTCTTGGTACTGTCGGCTGCTCCCTTATTTCCCAGGGGGTCGCCTCAGTGGATAGAGCCGCATATTTGATTTGGCACAGATTTTATTCTGGTTGCTCTTCGTGACGCAATCCTCCCATTTATCCGAGCTTGGGATCAGGACTAGGAGTACGCTAGCTTGTGACTCCATGGTGTTTATTATGGTGCTTATTCTAGTTCTAATTATTTGTTTTAAATATGCGGGATTTCAAAATAAATGCGCCAGTTAAGGATGACACAGTTACATTTCAGTTGCACAGGGACAATAAAATAGCTGAATTTGTGTGTTCATCTGCAGATTTCTGTCAGCAGGACTCGTTGTGTTCATTTCTTTTTCTGGACTTCTGGGTAACATTTATGTGACTAAAACTGAATAAACTGAATCTCTTTGAGTTTTGGTTGGATGAAACTTTTTGGAATGTTTTGTGACATTTTGGAGATGAAATGAAGAACAAAGTAGGTGCATCTTCCCGTATTTGAAATATAAACTCTTTTGAGGACCTAACCAGCCAAATGTTTTGTTCTAACAGTCCTCCCTGGGACACCTGAGAGCTGCAGGTTATATAACGATCTGTCATAGTCTGTAAGGCCGGGCTGAAGGGCACAATTGCACCAGATTCCCGTAAACATTTGTTATCACGTCTCATATCACGCCCTGTCATTTTTTCCGTCTTCCCTTTTTTTAGAATGCCGACTTTACTAGCCACGACCTCATCAGCAGGAAGATCAAAGAGTACAACACCTTGATGAGGTAAGGGTGACATGAAAGCAGGTGAGCGGGGAAGGGAGGTGTCTCATAGCTCATGGGAAAGCTCTGAAAGTTTCGTGTCCATGTCTCATGCAGCCCGACTGGCAGCAAGACGGAGCCGTCTCCCAGAACTTCACGCCAGTCGCTAAGGCAGACGCTGCTGGGAGGGAAAGGAGAGACCAAAGCAACAAGCCCACACTCACCCAAAGCTGAGCAGGAGAGGAAGAACATGCACAAAGGTATGAAAAGGAAGAACATTTTATATCTGATAAATAATAAAATTAATCACTAATGCTTCCTTCATTTGTTATGTAAAAGTAGTATATAAACATTTACTGGGGTGGCTGTGGCTCAGGAAGCAGAACAGGTCATCTACAAATCAGAAGGCTGGCAGTTTGATCACTGGTTTTCATTTTGAGTACACGGTGCCTCTGCTTTATGCAGCCTTTACATATTTAGATCAGGCAGCGTGACTATATGGTTAATACAATGCTTTGTAGTTAAACTCTTACAGGCTGTTTTTAAAGGGGTACAAATGGTTAAAGGAAATGAATCATAAATGCTCACAGAGCAAACTGCACAGTGCGTTGAAGGTGTTTTGATGATGACGATGGAGGGTATCACTTCTGGAAGTAATAACTCATTGTTTTACAGTTAATGTTACTTTAATGCAAGTAAGTACACGTTCAATGAGCTGTGCCTCAAGTACAACACCCGTAGAGCTTGATTCGTGCCTGTTAAAGGTAATAAACTTGAAGATTGTTGCACCTTGTGCCAGAAACTGCTCAGCTTAGCAGTACAAAACGTATTAGAGTGGCAAGAAGACTGCAAGAAAACAGTCAGTATAGTTCTGTATTCATATCTGGAGCATCACAATAATCCTGACAGTCGAATCCATTCTGCACTTAATAAATCCTGTATTTGACAGCATTTGGATCCAGATAAGAATAAAAGCAGAAGTGCTCAGGATTTACACACAGTAGCTAAACATCAATCATATAAAAGGAGTTATTGGATTTTACTACATATCCTTAACTTATCCTTCTCAGACATGTTGTAATTAGAAGCTACTATTCACGGTATCCTGTGTGTTGTCCTGTGTGTGCAGATGACACCAGCCCTCCCAAGGATAAAGGGACATGGCGAAAGGGCATCCCAGGACTGATGAGGAAACCTTTCGAGAAGAAGCCATCTCCTGGAGTCACGTTTGGAGTGAGACTGGACGACTGTCCTCCTGCACAGATCAACAAGGTTCGGGCTGGTTTTATTCAGTGCACAAACCCAATGTTCTGCTCTGGAATGGGCCTTTTAAAACACGGTCCTCATTCCTCTGTGTTCCAGTTTGTGCCTCTGATTGTGGAGGTTTGCTGTAAGCTGGTGGAAGAGAGGGGGCTGGAGTACACGGGCATTTACAGAGTTCCTGGAAACAATGCTGCGATCTCCAACATGCAGGAGGAGCTCAATAACAAGGGCATGAATGATATCGACATCCAAGACGATGTGAGTGTCCTTTCATTGATCTGCTGCTGCTTTAATTAAACTCTCCTTGAAGTGCGTTTCCCTAATGGCCTGAAGTATTTTTAAAAGCTGCAGACTGACAGGTCTCTTTTCTACATCTTTGTACTCTGGCCAGTGATGGGTAAATCTTTAAAATGTAATATCTATTTATTGCAGAAGCTGGGTAAGCTTGTATTTCTGGATCACAAACATTATGCAGCAGCAGTGGAAGCTGTAGAAAACCATCATACTTGTTTTCCCAAATGAGCCTTTTGCTAAATTAATTGTATTTTTGTGCAGAAATGGAGGGACCTCAATGTGATCAGTAGTTTACTCAAGTCCTTCTTTCGGAAACTCCCCGAGCCCCTGTTCACCAATGGTAAGTTGATTCTTCTTGCCATCTAGTGGTTAAAAAGGAGAACTGTCATCTGTAAAAGTACTTTTACTTCTTCTTTTTTCGTCCTGCAGAGAGGTACACAGATTTTATAGAGGCCAACAGGATAGAGGACCCAGTGGAGAGACTCAAAGTGCTGAAGAGACTGGTGAGTAGAAGTAGTTTTGTAACATTTAACCTCATTAAAATTACACAAAATGCAAGAAACTAAGATGTCAGACATTCAATTTGTGTTTTGTGTAATTTCTCTTTTCCTTACAGCTTCACGAGTTACCGGCTCATCATTACGAGACCCTCAAGTTCCTCTCAGCTCACCTGAAAACTGTGGCTGACAACTCTGAGAAAAATAAGGTATTTGTTGTTGTTGTCATTGTTGCTTTTGTTGTTTACATATTTTTGTTCTTGTCTGTAGTGTAATTTATAGTCTTATTATACAATTATGTAGACCCCTCTGTTCTGAGTTACTCAGTTTGGAGACAAACAAAAAAAGAATTTTTTATTTTTTTTAAAATGTCAGATGGAACCGAGGAACCTGGCCATCGTGTTCGGCCCAACTCTGGTGCGCACCACCGAGGACAACATGACCCATATGGTGACGCACATGCCCGACCAGTACAAGATAGTGGAGACCCTCATTCAAAATGTGAGTTTCAGTGTTGGGTCACTGATTCAAACATGCACACAAATTTTTATTTTCTCACGTTTATTTCGTGTCTTGCAGTACGATTGGTTCTTCACTGAAGATGGAAATGGAGAGCCAGTGGTGGGTACAGATGTTACTACAATAACATTGTTTTCTTCTCTAAATACTAAAACAAAAAAGGCAGTTTTGGTGAAGTGAGTTGGCAAAAAAAATGTAGATGGCAAAGAGAAAAAACACTGAATCAGTTCGAAAGCATTGATCAGTTTTTACTCAGTGAAAACAAAAACATTGCGGTTCAAAAACATGATTGGTGTTACTACCCAGCTCTGTTAGGAAGGAGGGAAGTAACATAAAACCAGATGGACGTGGCTCAGCCACGGTATTTATTGCTTAGAGGTTTTCCAAAGGCGAAGAAAAGAGGCAGACTGCAAGGGAAAGGAGGGTTTGTGGGTGCTGCTAAATCAAGTAGAAAAGCAAAAAGTGGTAGGACAAAATTTTAGTGTTTTTTTTTTTCTTCTTCCACCACCAACAAATCACTGGTGCTATTCTGTGGCTACTGGATGTGATTTTCAGTTGCATCCTGCAGAATCTGCCCACCATGATTTTCCTAAAAGAAACACTTTCATCTTTGTAATGCTCCGTTCTCCTATTGGTTGAAATGTGGAACCTCATCAGTGTGAAAGAAGTAACAGTACAACTGCAGCAATGCTTCCTACCCCAACTAAAACACTCTAGTAGCAACACCACTGTCCCTTGTGGTGTTTCTGAGTATTTCCCATGTGCTATGTGCTACGTGTGAGAAAGGACAGCTTTAGACTCCTGATGTTGTTCAGAGTACATGTTTGAAAATTGGTTTCAACTAACTTATGCAGCACCCAAGAAGTTAAGTATGTGTTCTTTCAAAGGATAGTTCACAGTTACAACAGCAAAGTTAATGGAAGAATGAGGTGCCCAACACCGAGCTGCATTCATTGAACATTGCTATGAAGTTGACCTGCTTTTTGATTGGACGTTGAATGAAGAAAATTAACAAACCAGCAAAAAACTGTTTTACCTTTTATGATGAAAGATACCCAAATCAAATCATTAACTTCTCCTTCCTCCTTTCAGACTGTGTCCCAGGAGGAGAGTGCAGTGGAGTCTCAGCCCCTCCCCAACATCGATCACCTGCTCACCAACATCGGCCGTACGGGCACATCGCAGGGTGAAGTATCAGGTAACACGCTGCATTTTGGCAGGCCAACTCTGTGGTGGGTTAACCTTTCTCTACCCTTTCACCGCTGAGCACTGTGGTCAAAGCTGGGAGGGACCGGTTGTGTTTAAGATTAGAAACAAATGTTGATGATGCTGCTTCTTCCCCAGGCCAAGCTTCCCCTTTTGCTCCTTTGGCTGTTGCCATTAGGAAGAATGGCTAACACTGAGTCCAAACAATGAATTCTCATTCTGGGACGTTACATAATGCCCTTTTGTCAGGTGTCTTTTGGCCCTGCTTTTGCAGTTCTGTAAACTTATTAGGTGTTAGGAATTAGGACATCGGTAAGGGTGGCAGTGTCAGAAATTACAAGCTTAACAGCACGATTATTGTGGTTGATGCCACTGTGGTTCGCATCCTGTTTTGAGCTTAGAAGACTTTTTATTACCTCAAACTGGGCTTTTGGGGGCCACATATTACATAACAAAAGCCTGAATTTTCATCTTAATTCTGACCATTTCAAGAACTTAACTTCTGTAAATGAAACCCCACGTAGCTCACCTGGTAAAAAAACATCTTTATTCCAATTTATTCCAAGTTTTGTGCACAGGGAAAAATCATGGATTGTCTTAATATTTATTCCTTGGTTAAGTTTACACCTCTTTAAATCAGAATCAGAATCAGAATCAGAATACTTTATTAATCCCTGGGGGAAATTATTTAGAAAATACAAGTCAGAAAAAAAAAGAATACGTAAGAAAAAAGAGCTAAACTAAGAGAAAAACAGGAGCGACTGTAACAGGCTGCACGCTGGTTGGCGCATGCGCACATTAAAGAGCCGTTCGTTGATTCTATAACGCGGCGTGTTATGCACGCTACTGCGAAAGGACACCTTCTGCTGAGACACGCCAGCAGCTTTGACAAAACGGCATTATCTGACAGCCCCGTTATGAGAACAGGCCGGTCCAAATCCCTGTGTGGGATTCAGTGGGCAATTTATTTGCATCCCCAAAAAGATGCAAAAAATTGCCTCCCTCCTTCATTTGCTTTAAAATCTATTCCTCCTTTTCGGTATATGCTAGCCTTTTAAGCAGTTCTTTTTAAACAACCTTCTGCCCTTTTTGGTACCCCCATTTCCCCCTCTTTTTCCTGCCTACTGTTGCACTAATACGGCATGTTCTTTGGCACGTCAGAACTAGATGTTTTTACAGTAAAAGGCGACCTCTGATTCCTCTGTCTCTAGTGAGGCTCTGTCGGGTGTCCTAACGGCTTTCCCAGCATTCACACATACTGATCTTGACACAGGCCAAGTGGGAGGAGTCTATCACACCATGATGTCACTGATGGACTCTATAATGTCTGTGATGGACAGCTGGAACTGTAGGAAGAAGGAGGATTGTTGCCCGCAGTGTAGCTGCCTAGTCTGCAGGAACCCGCAGCTCTATTAAGAAATGCCAAAGAGAGAGAAGAAAACAAAACAAACAAACAAACAAAAAAGTTAATCAAAGAAAGCTTGATGAAAAGGGGAAGCGAAGCGGCAACACGGTACTGTACGGTGTCCGGTTTTCTATCAGAGTATACCTAACACAGGCCGGTGCTACTGTCTGAAAGGCTCTCCGCTGTCTCTCCTCACTGTCTCGCAAGCTTGCCAACAGGAGAGATAGCATGGTACGGTTTCTACGTCACTGGTCAGTGTGCACCTGCATATTGTGCCTCCATCTGTATTGTAAGGGGTGTATAGGGGGGCTTGGCTATGTCACACAAACACAAATTTTAGCTAAGGGACGCTATGAGTGACAGATTGCAGAGCAGGTGAGGACTGATTATAGGTTTTCCTTGCTGACACACTCATTCTCATGTAGTGTCCTCTCTTCTCATATAGCTAGCCCCTCTGTGACCCCCCCGTCACCTTCATTTCTTTTTTTCTTTATTTGGTTTCTTCCATAGATGTTTTTTGTCATCACTGTGTCAATGTGTCTGAGACCTCATATCATCTCACATTGCTTCATTGGCAAATTTGGTATCAACCTGTTTTGACAGAAATGGATCGGTGACATTGATCTCCAGTTAGAAGCTTAAACCATATTTGTTATTTTAATACTGAAGTTTAATTTTAGGCTTTTTTTTTTAAATAAGGTTGACAGTTACAAAAAGACATGGCTAGGAAAAGGGCTGTCACATCATTAGATTGTCACTGTACAAATATTTGTGCTAAAAAGCTTCATGACAACATTATTGCAATATCTGGAAAATCAGAAAAAGAATATTCAGATCATTCAAATTATTTGCAACTTTGTTTATTATGTGTTTATATCCTTTCTGGCAAACGAATCTTAGTCAGAAAAAAGAAGCTATGACGACGTGTCTCCAAAATCTCTATATACTGTGGTTTTATCATAGACTGTATGTAAAAGATGGAAGCAACCGCTTGTGTTGACTTTTAAAGTTCTGTGTAAAACATGAGCTGGGAATTTAGACTTTCACCTTAAACTTGACATGACGAGAGGTTTGGATCTCACTGAGGAACTGAAAATACTGCCCATTCATAAAATAGTGACCAGTCAGTCAAAATGAAGCCAGACTCTATTGTCCATTTTACGCTACATGAAATCATAATTTACTGTATGAACATCATCTGAACACTGACTTTTTAAAGAAGCAATTTCAGTCTGTGCTTGCTATTTTAAAAGTACAGGTAATAGAAGCCCTTTTGGTGGCTCTTGCATTTTTTATATACAGTCTATGGGTTGTAGCTAGCTAGCAGTTACTGTGTCATCAGGAGGCAATCAACATTAATGTGCAGTGCTCCTAGCTGATATTCTAGCATGTGAATGATATGAACTGGGTCATCTACAGTAACAAATTACATGCTTTTTGGACAGTTTCACCTCTTCATGGCTTTGAAAATGATAGTAAACTCAAGTATTTCTTAACCTAAAGAAACTTTTTAAAACCTAGTTGGATGATCTGAAAAGTAGCACAAACCACAGAGATTAAGACACGTGAGAGGTTGACACTTTCAGTGACAATTACAACAGAAGCATTTGTTCATAATTCTTACAGTGCAGCCCAAGAAATTGTTGAAAGTATCAGGAGAAATCCTCATGTGTGGCCACTACCAATTTTTTTTCTATCAGATAATGCTACCACGGGACCACGGTTTCATTCCTGGATAACAAAATGATCACCATCCTCGTGTTGCATGGCACATCATCTGCCCCGCTGCTGTTCGTTGCAAAAGTTGCACTCAGAATCACCAAGAGGAGCTTTGATGGAAATAGCCGTCAGCATCTTCTGTGGGTTTTCTGACACCCTCTGGTCTACACTTAATTAGGAAACAATGTCATGTCACATGTCATGTCACACATACAGACGTGGACCTGAGTGTAACGCTGAGCTCATCTGTCCCCGTGTGCAGCATGGCCTGTTGTCCGCTTGTGTTTGCTCTCACCTCTCATCGGTCTCGTCTGGTGTTTTTCATCATGCTTCTTCTCATCAACATGGTTCTTTCTCCTCCTTTGTTTCCTGTCACACTCATTTCCACACGTTTAACCCCCTCTGTGTGCTCACCTGTGTTGTTAAATCATCTAACGTGTCTCTCTTTTTCTCTTTTACCTACAGATTCCCCAACTAGTGACTCTGCTAAATCAAAGGTGAGTGTGTGTCTCCAGTGTCTGATGGTGTGAGATGAGAGGAGGTAGGAAGAGAACAGATGATATAAACTTACTGCTGAAGGCATTTTTTGTTTACTTGTTCTTATTTTCTGCCTTATTCCCGAACAGTGAAAAAGACTAATTTGTGGTACTCACAACACTACTAGAATACATATAAGAAGTTAAACAGCAACATCTGCAATGTTCTCATTAAGAGACAGATGTGGTGCTGGACTTTGTTTTATGGTTCAAAGACAGCCTGTCAAAAAATAAGGAACGTTAAAAAGATAATTTGGTGTTAAATACCAGAGGATCAGAAAGAAAGATTGTAAACACAAAACTTAAAAAAATGACTGACCACAAAATTTGTATGGCGTTTGAAAACATGCACGATTGCAGTCACAGGGTGCAGGGATTTTGTACTTCAAGACACCCACAGACCTCACTGTGAACAGTTTTCACTCATCTGTTGCTACACACTGGGCCTCATTCACAAAAATTAAAAGATCACGTGGTCCCTGTCCTCCACCTGCTTCTTTCATTTTCTTCTAGTTGTGGTTCAAAGGGCTCCGTTATCTGTTATTGTTATTTGTTATTGCAGCCCAGCTCTCTCAGTTTACCCGAGGAGGAGGTGTGCCGCTTCCGGCTTTCATTCACCAAAGTCTTCCTTTTTTGCATTTTGCAAGTGTTCCGTTTTACAGCAACTTGATTGATTTCTCAGTAGTTTCTGGGAAAATCTTTGTCCTGGTGAATAACAAAAAAGTTCACTATGAATCTGATGGTAATTCAGAATATTTGTCTGGACATACAAGTGATTGAGGCCCATTGTGTATTCTCAGTGCTGTGACCACACATTATTTGACCCTCACATCCACAGTGAAAACGAAACAATTTCCATGGTTAGATGGTCAGCGAGTTGGAGCTATAAAGGCTGCTGTGCATCAAGTCTTTCATGAAGTCCTTCTCGGGGACACCCTGGATTAAAAACTTGTGGCTGAGGAACTTGGGAGTGTTCAACAGCTTGCTAGGATGTAGGAGGGAAAAAAAGGCAGATGCTTTCCATCATTGCACTGCTGTTCTCTTCAGCTTCAGCCGCGCTTCAGTTCATGCTGTGCTGCTGCTTCTGCTTCTGCTTTAAAGCCAGCATGAATCAGTACTGTGCTCCCTGTTTATGATGCTGCTAATATCCCTCTTTCTGTCTACTTGTTTGTCTGGTGCTTCATGGGAACAGGTGGAGTACAGACTTGAGGAAAGGGGTTGGGGTTAAAAGTTTCTGTGTCGTCTTTTGTGTTTCTTAGATTCAGCAGTGCTCATTTTGTTCTTCTTGTGCTCTCTCTTTCTGTTCCCCTCTCCTCTGTGCAGGGTTCCTCAGGGAAGGATCAGTGCAGCAGAGACCTCCTGGTCTCCTCCATCTTTGCTGTAGCCAGCCGCAAAAGAAAGAAGTCAAGGGAGAAGCCGCAGCCTAGCAGCTCAGACGATGATCTGGATTCTGTATTCCTCAAGAAGGAAATCCTTGGCCAGAAGCCAAACCAGCAGACCGAGGCACAGGGCGAGACTCGTCCCAGCCCTAACACCAAACCCAGCACGAAGCAGCAAGCACGGACAGAAGAGAGGAAGGAGAACGGGAGGACAGTGGAGCTCACACCTAAAGCTAAGAGAGAGCACCGAAACTCTTTATTCCTGAGGGAGAAGATTACCCCCAGACGCTCCTCGCCTTCACCTTTACCTTCCCCAAAGATTTCCAACTCTCCCAACATCAGCTACCAAACAGCTCCTCAGGGAAAATCCTCATTGTCAGACCCTCCGTCCCAGCTTGATGAAAACACCTCAGACCTTGGGACCATGAGCTCTGGAGCATCAGTGCCACGATCCAGACCGAAAAAGTGGATTGCGGGAGTGTCCCCTGACCTGCCAGCAGGAGCCGCTCTGGGAGCAGGTGCGGGGGCGTCCGCTGGCGCAGAGGTGAGCTCTATCACCTCTGACTACTCCACCACCTCCTCTATCACATTCCTGACTGGAGCGGAATCAAACGCGCTGAGTCCAGAGCTGCAGGGTGGCGAGGAGGCAGATGATGAGCGCAGTGAGCTCATCAGCGAGGGACGACCGATGGAGACAGACAGCGAGAGCGACTTTCCAGTTTTTGCTCCAGGCGGTGGCAGCAGCCAGTCCACACCCTGCCCAGTGCAAAGTCAAGAAAAGGCAGAGGCCAAAGGGGGCAGTGCTATCGAAGGGGGCACCTCACCAAAACTGGAAGCACGGCGGCTCTTCCCAACATACCGCATGATCGAGTGCGATACCCTCTCAAGAAGGTGGTCCCTGAAACAGAAAACAGACAGTGAATCATCAGTCGAAGGGGCTGCTGGCAGCGGGGAGCGAAGCGAGGGCAGGGCGGAGTCTTCCAGCCGGTTGTCTCGAGTCCTAGAGGTGATGAAAAAGGGCCGATCCACGAGCAGCCTCAGCTCTTCTTCGCGCAGTGAGTCGGAGCGATCCGAACCAGCCTGGCACCTTAAGATCACAGAGAGGCTCAAGTTTAGGCTACGAACGTCCGCTGATGACATGTTTACTCAGAAGAACCGATCTCCCGACGGTCGCAGTAAGAAAAAGAACATCCGACGGAGGCACACCATGGGCGGGCAGAGAGACTTCGCAGAGCTGGCAATCATCAACGACTGGCGGGAGCAGGGTGGGGTGGACCAGGCGGCTGAACTCTCAGCTCTAGACCCCCTGAGGCCTAGATGCTCCTCTCAGGACTTATCCATTCGAGACTGGATTGCGAGGGAGCAAAGCAGAGGCTCCGAGCCAAGCGTCGAGGTTGCGCCCAAAGCGGTGCCTGAGGATGATCACGCAGAAGTGCATGAAGAAAGACCTCCCGAAAGACCTCCACCTCCACCGCCTTCGGATTCCCCTGGGGCTCAGCCTCCAGCCGGGGAGCACATTAACGGCAGAGGGCTGCAAAGCAAAAACAAAGGCTCCTTAGGGGACGACGCTCACCCACACAAACTCTCTGGAGCGCAAGTTGTCCGCTCACGGTTCTACCAGTATCTGTGAAACGGAAAACAAAAAACAAAACCGGGATGAATGTGTACGTGTATGAATGTGGGTATTTTAGCTGAGGTTACTGCACAATATTTTTTCTACAAAGTATACTTTATGTATCTACTGTACATACTTATTATGATTGTTACTGGAATTCGACTGAAGAGATGTCTAACACAGACTTTTCTCCTGTAAGATCGAACCCAACGAGTGCAAGAATCTGACTTTAATAGGACACGATGACAAATATAAGGGTCAACTCGAGTATTACTGAGGAAAGCAGGTGCAAGAGTTTTTTTTAATAAGGAATCATGACTCAGTTCTTCCTCTTTGGAGCGGTATGAAGAATGTATTACACTTTTTGGACTAACATGAGTTGCTTGTGACAATAATGTCTTTTTCAAAACGGCATGTCTGTGTTTTTCTCGGCTGTACTTGAAGTACGTGGAAGTAACTGAGGGCTGCTTTCTGAGCTGAGTGCTGTGGGAAGTTTATTTTTTTCTTTTTATGTTTCTTGTCGTTTTATTTTGTATTTTCACAGCACACTCACAACAGCCAGATATTAGCTTGAGGAACTGGGGGATTATTATAGTTTTATGAAATAAAAGACTGAGAAAACAGTAATAAAAGCTGATACTACAGTATGTAATGCTTGGTACAGTAGTTTTGTGAAGGTATAGTCCAAAAAGTGAGTTTTTACATACGAAAAAAAAGTGCCTCTTTTATTTGTTTTGTTTTTAAACTGTTTTTATGGATGGTTGGAAACACAAGGAGGGTTGTTTTTTTTTTCTTTTAACCTCACAGGCATTCCAGATTTTATCCTGTTTTTAGTTAAACTCACAGCAGCATCGGAGCAACATCGGATTTTTATCGCGGTAATGTTTCATTATAGTTTTATTTCAGTTCCCC